TATAGGATTTACATGAAAGAAATCCTTGGCCCATTCATTTTTTTTAAATCATGGCAATTTGTTTTTAAAAGGTGTTTGAAGTCCTTGAATCTACCTCTTGGCACCATTAAAAAAAAAGTAGTTTATAATCCCCTAATGTGCTTAAATAAAGCCTTCAATAGTTTAAATTGTTATTAAACATCTTGTGGGATTATAATTTTATGGCTTTTTTTTGCCTGATTAGATGATGAACGTGAAGATCATCAAATACTCATCATATAACAAACCAATTACATCGTATAATCCCCAAAATGAGGTTTGAATCTCAACATTTTAAATTAAGCTGGATTTAAAGGATGCAGAGAATTCACAATGAGCGAACAAAGACACACACACACCCCCCCCTCCAAACTCCCTTCTTCCAGTTTTCAACCAAAAGGTACCACTGCTGGGACAAAAACATAGCATGGGTTGAAGCAGAAACTAATCCTCTTGCCACAATTAAATTTACCACTTTTAGGCAAGATTATTTTTTTCCCCTTCCCTTCCTCCAAGCTTTTCCCTTATTTTGCAATCCCTGCTGAGGGCCGTACATTACAGTGAGGAGATCTGCTTGAAAAATGGTGGTGAGATCTGATCCCTGAACGCGAAGCGATGCAAGAAATAATAGTAATTAAAAAAAAAAATAGAATAAGAGGGCCTGTAAAATGTTGCCGTGCTGCAGCACACCCTCAAATTATCCTCAAGGGCAACTTTCTGGAGCCCGGCCCCAGCACAGGGCTGGGCACAGTTTGGGCATGTCCTCACCTCTTCACCCAACTCTTAGCAGCCTTATTTATTTATTTTTTGCTCCGAATAGTAACGGGGCATTCCTCCCACCTCAAATTTACAGCAAAATCCTAAAAACGGGTTTCACGAACCTCAAAATTTACAGGCTGCTGTCACAATCTACCATCAAGAATTCCACCAAGCTCCACAGCTACGTTTTGTCTAACGCGCGCCCAAGGTGGGCAGCTCTTTAACCAAAATTTAACCAAACCCCCCGACATTTAACCAAAATTTAGTCAGAATAGCAAATGGTTAAAAACAAACCCTGCAAAGTCCTAAGTGTAAGTCTGATTGCGTCTTTTCCTATTGTTTTAGCTTATGGTTTTTGTTGTTATTATTCTAAGGGGAACTTAAAAAAAAAAAAAAGGGCAATTTGGATGAATTTATTCCCTGAAGTGTTCCGGAGCATACTGCCTGCATCCGCGCTTGCCTACCCTTTGGGCATACGTCAACTCAGTTCTGCACATCAGTCAAAATAACAGGGGGGGAAGAAGAGGGGCTGCAGTGTGACACTGAGCGGGAACTATTGCCCAAACACTTCAACAACCGGAGAGGCTATGGCTTTGCCTTTGATTTTTTTTCTCCAATAAAGAAAAAAAAAACAAAAACAGAATTTCCTCCGGAGTGGGAAACGAGAACTAAGGGACCAACCTTAGGAAATTAAGTCGGTACACAGAGGGAGACTTAATACTGGTGGAGATGGAATAACTGTATAGAAGGAATTAAACCAGCCTATACACTTTTAAAAGATTGTATTAGTCCAACATTTATTTTAAGTCTTTCCAGCCATTAATCATTAGTATGACAGACACAGCAATTACTGTCTATTTTGTTTAATTCCATGCCGCTGATGTGTATTAATATTACAATTGTGAGGGAAAAAAAAAAGAAATATTTGCCTTAGCAAAGGAGGGCTCCCAACTAACACCCCAATTAGGAAGCACCAGTGGTCAAGGGGATGCTGGATTTCGCGCTTAACCGCCGCTCGTTTCATCCCTGTCATTTTCCGGAGGGGAAAGCGAAGGCAGGTGAAGCGCTGGGGGCAAAAGGGAGGTATCGCCTGCCCGGACATGTCCCCTGCCTGAACAGAACCACCTCCCTTCTCTCTCTCTCCTCACCTCCCGTCTTAGGGAGGACCTCATGTCCACCCTAGGGAAGGCCAAACCCGCCAATAATAAATAAAATAAATAAAACAGCATCTCTAGTTTCCTCAGCTGACCAGTCCTCAGTGAGGAGCCCAGCTGGGGACACTGTCATGCCCGTGTGTAGGGTTACAAAAGCAGTCACGAGGCCCAGACACCCCCCAAAAATGAACTGGAGTCTTAATTCCTTCGGCCTCTCACCCCCTACTCCTCAGTGCTGATTGCAGCTACGATTTGGGCCAGGGTCTTTTTTTGGCAGAGAGGACAGCACCCCAAGCAGCTTGTCGACGTGTTATATAGCTTTAGCGTTAACCGTAGTGTTGACTCTGCCCCATGTTATCAACGCGCTTGCCTGGAGGACATCTTCCTCAGCGCACAAGACCCACTGCTCTGCGGGATGCACAGGTTCTCTGGTGCCATCTTGCTCCAGCGAGAGCACTCCCAGCTGGGACACATGCTTGGAAGAACCTACAATGCCGTCCAGTCAATGTTTTAATTTGGGGAAACCATCCATGATCCCACCTAGGGTTCTGATGGGTTTTGAAAGGTCTGTCTCGAGGTCCCAGCTGGAGAAAGATGGACCGGGTAGACCAATTCTGCTTTACTGAGCTGATCAGACAAGCCTGGAGCCACCACGACGCTGCTAGAAGAAGAGAAAGCTGCCCTGCAATAAATCTGCACACTTCACCTGGCTGGGATGGTGGGGTTTTCAAGCGAGCTTTACCTTGGTGCTGCAAGGTAGAAAATGCAGCAGCTTCATCTCATAGGTCCTGGGGGAATTCTTGCCGTATTTGAGCCTTCCAGAAGAAGAGACCACCTTTACAAGCAGCTGTCCAGATGTTGCCTCCCCAGAGCAGCTACCAGCGCTGCAGCAAGCTCCGCGGGCACCCTCCTCTTCTCCTTTGCGCATCATTACCGCACAGGAGAAGAGTGAAAAGCCACTTGGACCCTACACCCAATCTAGACCACCTAGTGACAGGGTTCATCCTCTGGTCCTGAGACTGTGCATGAAGGCAGCGGCAGGGTCAGGTCAAGCCCACGCAGCTAAACGCTCAACAGAGGGTACCTCCTGCCACGAGGTCTTTCGGGAGTATTACCCCTGCTATCTTCTGCCGTGCTCCCAGGACTGGGTTTGGAGGGTGGTAGCTGGCCCAGGCTGAGAGCATGTCGGGGACCGCTCGAGCAGTTTAATGGGTAATGTTTAATTTACTAGTACAAACCCGGCAACAGGCCACTTCCAAGAAAACATACTAATACTAGTAATAACAGTAACAAATCCTCAGCTGGGAACTACGGGGGACTGACATGCAGTTGCTCAGTGTCCCCTGGTGCGCCTTGTCCTGACCGCAGAGCTTCCAGGGCATCTCCTCAAACCAGAACCTACACCGGCCGCATCAGAACGGTGTGAGCATCGCTGCCGGCGCGGCCTCCCCGGACCGTTTTGGAGGCAGATGTCCTTAACCTCACATCTACCCGCAGATAGACACCAGGGGCCACCTCATCTTGGGTGAGGACCTAGAACTGGGGAGCCACCACAACCAAAAGGGACCTCCGGCTTTGGAAGCGATGCGCTGAACGCACCAGGGACAGGGCTTAAGGAGCTGGCAAAGCTGGGGCACGCCTGACCTAGAGCCTGCCAGAGACGGAGATTAACTTGGAGATATCCTCTCCCGCTTCGGAGGAGGAGTTGCTCCAACAGGAAGGTTCATTCATAGCAACCCAGGACAGCGCGGGGCAGGATTCCCCCCGCCTGATCCCCGTGCTGACAAGAGTCATGGCACATATCTGGTTTCTTGGCTCAGCGAGGGACGGGGACGGGGATGGAGGGGTGATGTGCGTGAGCGCTTCCCTCCGATTTATGAGCGTACCCTTGGCAGGGCTCCCAAGCCGGGCCGGGCAAGCCGGTCAGGGCTTCTGGTTTCATCCTGACCCTAACTACGGGCAGGGGAGAGAGTCAACCACCGGGATGAGAGCCGTTCTTTGCCGCCGCCCGCAGACACCCCCCTCATCCTCCTGGCGCAGAAAAACTCAGCCAGAAAACCCCGGGGGCCAAATGCCCACGTCCCCATCCCCACCCCCCACCCCCAAAGGTGGAGGAAACCCAGCGACAAATCGCCACAATTTGACAAAAAAAGGAGAATGGCGTGAGAAACACTTCCGCTAAAGGCTAACGTTTAGAAGGTGTGGTACACAACATAAAGCCTCGAAAGAAGCTCCGGCATCCAGTTTAACCCCCCACACCTGTCCAGAGCTTTGATTTCTAATCCCAGGAACCAAAAAAAAATAAGAAAAAAAATACAAGTAGCTGCGGCAACAGAAATAGCTGCGCATCCCCCACCCCTTTATAACGTTAAATACTGGGGTAAACTTACACTCTGGGAATGAGAACGTCTCAAAGAAAAAAATTACACTTTGCTATTAAACCAGATACATTCAGACCTTTCATCGTGCAGCTTCTGACGATCTCTGACAAACAGCTGAATAAGGCCTTTGTTCGCTTTTTGCTTTGTTTTTAAGCTCCCCAATTCTTTACCGCGGTTCTCCGGAGCGCAGAACCCGGGGCCGAGCGCTGCTCTCGGCTGGGAAGGAGCGATTCCCACGTCAGCTAAGGGGAGCCGCAGCTGCGCGAGCAGCGGGGCAGGACAGGTCTCCGAGGTTATTAGTATAAGCTTAGTCACACTTTGCGGTGACGTCCCGTTAACAACTGCGACTCGAACCTCCCCTCCCCCCTGGCCCCCCCAAAAAAATTAAATAAAAAAAATTTGAAAAGCTAAAAAAAAAATAATATCTAAAACCAACATACACACAAAAAAAACCCAACCCAAAACCATAAAAAAAACCCCACACACTCCGTGCTCTTCCCCTGGCATCTAGCAAAAGAGGCAACAACAACAACAACTCTGCTCTGAAAAGTTCCCTGAGCTACCTATGAGTAACATCATACGTATTTATTTATTTTTTTTAATTTTTTTTTTTTTTGCTTTCTATGACTACCACAACTATGACATTTTCCATGTTTTATTTTGCATACGTGATCTAGAGTTCACTTACTGTTAGATGCTGGAACAGCCATGCCCTCATGATATTTGTGGCTACTTTGGGAAAGATGCCACGCTTTTTATGTCGCTTTTTGTCCTTATCTGGATCATCATCATCACCTGTGCTGGGGGAAGCTACACTGTTGTCCAAGCCGTCACCTGTAAATATAGTGAATCAAATTTTGACTTATGCTACCTTTATATACTTCAGCCGAAGCCTGGCTTTGGGTATAAACTGCATGAATATTTAAATGAGGTATAAATTCTTTAACACCGTAATTCACCAGGGGTT